ATGATTGTCCTTGTTACCTACACTAATGATAAATAATGCACAACCATATGAATACATAACCATATGAAAAAATAAAGACCAAAGACCAAATAAGCCGGTTTACATACTGTATGTAAGAATCCCCCATAATGGTGGCCAGCATGAACTAGTAGATCTGCCCACAACCACCACAAATTATATAAATTTCCAACATAAATTTCAACAGCCAAAATGACCATGGTTGCCCCTAGTTTAACCATTGATATTATAAGAGATGTGCAGATTGTGTATTTAACTGTGGAAATAATCTTAGTTATAAAATAACTACAAGAACAACAAAGCATTTACATAAACCCAAAATTGGCAAGAGTTGCTGGATCCACTACCCATTTCCATGTAAATTATCTCAGGAGCATGTTTCCATCAAGTACAGTATCTCTAATCCTCTATTGGAAGTTCAAAATTTCTTCAATGCATAACATTCATCTAGTAGTGACAAGTAATATCACTGTATACTGCTGTACAATAATTAGCAAGATACTGAAGACAACACCAACCACATTTCTGGAGGGGCCATACCATGGCTCCTCATGGTTAGCCACTTTGGTTAGCTCCCCACTAATCGAGTCGCACCAGGCCCTTGCGAGTCAATAAAAGCCTATCAGGGACAAGAGGCCAAATCTGGATTCCTCAAAAAGGCACAGAGAGCAGGGAATATATGATCACCCTCACCAAGGAACATCCACCAGAAAGTGTAAATCAAAACAGACAACAGCAATGCAAAATATAAACAAATCAGAAAATTATCCTCCCAGTAGTTAGGTCATTCATCCATGAGTAACAACTGCCCACAAACAGGTGGCAGTGCTGCAGAGATACCAGCTTCATCCAGTGAATCTCCTCAGTCAATTGCCTGGTGTAAGCTACGACTGACTGCTCCTAGAGTCACTCCAAATCCTTCAGTTCCCTAATTATTTTCCAGGTAAGTGTTGGCCATTCTTTGGACTTCTTTCTGTGAAGTACATTTGCTTTCTTGTGTATTATTCCAATCTTTAATATTTGCCTCTTGAGTATGTGTTTAAAGCCTCGCTTCTTGTGTGGACTTATGGAAAACTGTTCACCTTGAGCTGCATAAGTCTAGGGCTCCCTTCCCTAAGTACTGATGTTGCCCCTTCCCTGATATGGTTACCTTCCCTAGTGGGTTTGTGTGTTCCTTCCTCGAGAGGCCAACTTCCAGTGGAAGGTGCTTCGCCCTAGGTAGATACAAGGAAGGTGCAAGGATTCATGACTCTGCTACAAAATTCAGGGATGGGGGCAGTCAGAATTTGCTTGCTTAGAGTGGCAAAGGCATCATGTGTATGTTTACATGAAACGCCACCAATGCCCACCTGCAGCTATGTGTGTTTCTAGGCTGCATTTGGTGTCAGTCACTATCACCAAGCAGCCTATGTGCCTAGAATCCCTGCTTGGTCATGCTTTCAGGTTTGCAATTGTGCATGAAAATGTACTGTGTATTTAGTACAATATTAGTAAAAACAGTATTTGTTATTGTTCTAAGCAAATAATATAGTGTACATCTTGGTGATATGAATATATTTGAGCATTCTAATGTTCCACACATTTTATTATATAAATTCCTCAAAGGACCCACTACTGAATAATATTGAGCACAGGGGAAGGCACGACATGACCAAATCCCAAAACGCCTGAAAAGGAAACTGGCGAACCAGAAGCCATCAAAGAGCAAACGGAGCCCCTACACACAGTTCACACAGGAGTCAACACCTGCAACAGAGAAACTCCAGTATATTTCAAATGCCTAAATATTGTAGAACAGGGTGATGACCATGAGTGGTGTCTCAAGAGACTTAAATGTGTAGTGAATTTGAAAAATTGGAGATGAAACAAATGTGCAAGGGGAAGTAAAAGTTGTATGAGAAAAAGTTGCGAAAGTAAATAGTTACAGATGATGAAATTCAAGATGGCCACCAGCAATAAGAAAAACACAACAGAGCTGGATTTTGGTGGATTCGATGAGGAAAGTATTAGCATGAGTGGTCTGCACAACAAGTTCCCATAATTGGACATCACTGAAACTATCATGAGGAAGTAATCAAGAAGTTCAGAGAAAGTAATGACCACTTGATAAGCAAAGTATCAGAGCATGAAGAGCTAGTGAAGAAATTATGCAAGAACAAGAATGACTAAAGCTTAAACCAAAGCCCTCGAGGAGGAAAATAAAGTAGTGAAAATAGCTTCTGGAGAAGTTAAAGAAAATTGAAACATGAATGAATGCAATAGGTTAGGAAAGGAAATTCAACAGGAAAGATAGCTCTTGTCAATACAGATGGAGGAAGATACACAGGAAATAGAACTGGGCAAGAAGGATATGCAACTTCCCTATGCACAAGTGCCCAGAGAAGGACGTAATAGAGGAAACAATAAAGAAAACCAGAAATTGCAGCAATCAGAAAAGCACAGACATTAGACTGGAAGTCAGAAAGGAACTGGCATCAATCCCAAAACGGGTGCTAAACTCAGTCGATCAAAGTCCCTAATAATATTTGGTTGCAGAGAAAAGGAGATAAAATCTAGGTCAGAAAAAGCCACATAAGAAGCAATACTAGTAAATAAAATTGTTGGACTAGTGGAAGGTCTTACATCCAAAGATAATGTTTATGACTGCAGGAGAAATGGCAGATAAGAAAGAGGGAAAATTGACACTTGAGGATCATCCTAACTGGAGCTAAACAGATGGAAGAAGTACTCAGGAATATTAGGAAATTACAAAGTGATATGGAAGGGGAAATTATGGCCATTAAGACGAGATCTTTGAAAGGAAGACAGAGAAGCTGACACTGAATTTCGTAGAAGCAAAATGTCTAAATAAGAGCAGGAATGAAGAAATCAATTATTTTTTCAACACGGTGATAGGGAAGTCTGTGAAATGGTATAAAAAGGCAAACCAACAAAATTACTAGAGAAAGGGGAAGTAAAGAACAAGGGGAGAGGGAACATGTTCCTGAAAACTGCATACACCACCATTGATGGAGTGATACAAATTTCAGGAGCTAAATAATACAGTACAGCTGCAGATGCCAGACATTGTTGTACTCACGAAGACGAAACTCAAAGATGATATTTTAATCCTTCAACAACGGCTATGGAGAAATGGTCATACCAACCTATGCACAAAAATAAAAACCAATTATTTTTCATTATACTGTACTGTAGAATTATTAACTTTATGCAAAATGTAAGAACACAAAAAACCAGTGTTGAATGTAATGAAACGCCATTTTCTGGGCGAGTCCTGGAGGCTTCCCGGAGCTTACCGGGCTGATATGCAAGGACAGTACAGTATTAGACCATGCCAACAGTCCTCCAATGGAATTCTAATGCCTACTGGGGACCACGAGCCAGAACCTGGCCCCCTCAGAGAGGCATAAAGAGCAATGGCCTATGGAAACTCCCATGAGGTTAGAAGCATTCTATGTCTGCAATCGACCAGGTTAGGCACCCAGAAAGGGAGGCATCCCAAAACAGACCCCAAGTGGTAAAACATTGCTACCGAAAGCCAAACTACTCAGCAAAACTCGCCAATCTGAGAACAAGCAAACAAGCATGACGTCACATCTGCCACCAAGCGGCCTACCTGTGCAGTTCCCACCTCCCCAGGAGGGGGAAGGGGGGGCCCCAGACCCTCCTGGTGGCTATCCAATCTCAGTTCTGAGGCTGAATGTCAAAAACACGAAAACTGTCAACTGGGGGGGAGGGAGGTTTGTCGGGAAGCATCTGTGACTCACCCAGAAAATGTCGTTTCATTACATTCAACGCTGTAAGGACAACTAGCCTGACAAGCCAGCTATGAAGCCAAAAAAAGGCTAAAGCAATAGCTGCCTCCAACCAGGAATAATCCAGAAAGGAATGTCTGAAAAATAAGCCATGGCAAAGGAGGCTCAACAAGGATATCCTGCTAAAGAAGGCCCAATGCATGAGCCGAATAGGGCAACACAGCAACATCTTCAACAAGCAACCAGGAGAGGGGTAGCTGGGTAAGGGCATCCAGGCAAGGACTGCTGGGCAAAGGCAGTTAAGCAAAGACCACTGGACAAAAACTAGCTGGGCAGGATTGCCCCAGAGACAGCCATGCAAATACCACCCAAGCAACAGCCAGAAAAAAATCCCAGAAATTACAGTGTGCCTCATTACCTCAGCGTACTTAATTTTCTTCAAGCATTTAGTTGTTTTGTTACACGTCTGCTTTCTGATAGGTTTTTTCCTCTCTCCATTTTATATATAATTATGTTATTTCTTTCAAGGTATTCCATCCATTAAGTTATAACTACCTTCACTATTTCTGGTTGGGCAGGTTAAATACAAGCCAACCACCAAGGAAGGGAATCCTGGCATAAAATTGGAGTGAAATACAAATCCTGGGCATGTGCAAAATTGGTGACATAAGGCAATCATGAAGCATAATTAAAACAAAATACTAACAGCCCGTGGCAGAATTAATGTTCCTGCAATAGCACCACCACTTAGCATAATCCTGAAACATTATGACAGGCCCAGGCAGAGGTACAGGTTTCCAAAGCATGACCAGGCGAGTGAATGAGTGGTTGACTGCCACCTAGGCAGTCAAGTGAAACATGGCAGGTGCATTTACCTCGAGGCAATTGTTATTTGACTTGTTATTTTCAGGTCATTAATTTCTTTCATGCAGTTGGTTGTTTTATTGCTCTTATGCTCTATAGTGGAGTGTTTCTCGGCTTTAGATAGATCTTTGATTCCCAAACTCTCATGGCATATTAGAGAGAGATTTTGGTACTGACTTCCAGAAGCAAGGGTGGGTCTCAGAAGTCTGGTGCAATTTTTATAAGACAAGGCTTGATCAGTGCTTAGCTTAAAAAAGTTACTGAGGGGAGCCCCTCCAGAAGGTCTAACTAACAACAAGGACTTGAATACTAGATGATCTGGACTGTAGTTCGTAACTCAACCAAAGTAAGCACTTGACTTACCTTTCCCTTGGCATCTTGTTTATCCTGGGATGGCATAGAAGAGGGGTGAAAAGTAAAATTATCTTGTTGGCAAAATCAATTGTTTATTATTTATGCACTATAAATATTTGGCCATCTAAAACTAGTTTTTTTATGCAACAAAATTTTGAAAAAAAGAATAAATCATTAAGTAAAATGCAATGCCCATTTTTTAGTAGTACCTCAGTAGCTCTTCATAGCCTTATGCACCAAGCGTGTTAGGAAAGATACACAACCATCATGCTCTAGCTGGATTCAGACACAAGAAAACAAATATAGTACCATTGAAACATATCACTTAAAACTATCTACAAGCAAAGCTTGAAGACTCAAAAATTACCAACGTGGCAGGGAAGGAAGTTCACTTTTCTCCTTGAAGCATTTAATTAACAATCTATTGCAAGACATAAAAAGTAGAAACCTGGAGCTACCAGTGTAGCACACACAATGGCATTTCATTTTACTAAACATTTTATCTCTGAGCAAGTGCTACATAGCCTCCTTCCCCCAGTTAAATTAAATGAGGTAGGACAATGGGACATCAGAGGAAACTGGTTACATAGGACATAAGGACGTTCTCATTCCCTATACGGATGGTTGGCAAGTGTAATGCATTGATGGAAGAGATTGTTAAAGCCAATTCCATCCACAATTTTAAAAAGAAATACAATGAAAATGTTAATATTGATTAATGTTGTATAATTAGTGCACTAGGAATAAATGGCCACAAGGCTAATAAAGAGCTAGATCTCACTTGCCCTATAGTCACTAATAAGTAAACGCTGATAGGTAAGTAATATAGGAGGTAGAAAAAAAAAACAGCACAATGTGTTTAAAATGCTTCTTTCTGCTGAGGCCTCAGCGATTCCCTGTTACTAGCCACTCTGAATGGAGTGGAAGTCACACCTTTTGAGTCACAATAGACCCTTGTGTATTATTAAAAGCCTTCCTGGTACCAGAGTCCAAAATCAAGCCCCATCAAAGAGGAGCTGAGAGCAGAAAATTTTGGATTATCCTCACCAGGAAAAACATTCACTGGAAAGAGAGAGAAAAAAAAAACACAAGGCAAATCTAAATACTGTAACTTAGAAAATGAGCTGCCCTGTAGGTTACCCTCCAGTAACAGTGTGTAGTGCACTACTGTAGTGTGACCTACAGTATAGTGACCTTACTCCAGCGCTGCTTCCCACCACTAGATGGCAGCAGGGTCGGATTAAGGTACTGAGTTTTAGGGGCTGCAACCCAGGGCCTCTGCCAGTAGAATAGCCTGAATTTATTCCAGAAATTCTTCACTTCAGGAACTTTGTTAGGCAATTTGATGAATTTAGTCATGAGAGTGAACTACTAGAAGCTTCTGATGTCTAAATTCTTATAGTAAACAACTGATTAACTTCTTCTCTCCCTAATGTTAAAATAGCACTGCAGATTTACTTGTGTCTAATGATAACTAATGCAACTGGAGAGAGAAGTTTCTTCAAGATGAAACATCTTAAGAATGTACACAGAATATGTTAGCCTTGCAAAAATAAATAAAATTTTCTTTAATGTTTTCTTTCTTAAAATATTACTGGGTGCTTGACAGTACCTGTACCCCAGAGGCCTACAAAATCTTAATCCGGCCCTGGGTGGCAGTATTGGGAGCTCACGGATCAGCCAGTGTAGCTAGTCAGTCATTGGGCGACCAAAGGTATAAATCTGATGCACCTGAAAAAATGGGAGGGGGGAGTGAGCCCAGAGAGCCAAGGAGGATACACCAAAAGAGCCATTTCATTCCATACTAGTTTTCTAGAGGAGCTCCTCAAAGGCTCCCTGCTACTATATCCACCACAGAGTATGAAACAAAATGGGAAACTCACCGGAGGCAGAGGAGAGCAAAAGCCAACTGCAGTACTTCTTAACCAGGGAAAATCAATGACAGACAATCTTACCGAACACCACACAAGTCTGGCATGGCCCACGGCACATTAACTTGGTAACAATCTGCCAAAAACCCCAACACCAGAGAGACCCCTCAAAAGCAGCAGATATCAGCAGCATATGCTAGATTGGCCAAAATAAGAACTGCCTTTAGAAACTTGTGTAAGGAATCGTTCAGGACCTTGTATACCACTTATGTCAGACCAATCTAGGAGTATGCAGCTTTAGCCTAGAAAGGTTTAACCAAGTTAAACACAAAACAAAGTTAGAGAAGATTCAGAGGTACACCACCAGACTACACCCAGAACTGAGAGGAATGAGCTACGGGAGCTAAACCTCATGTCCCTGGAAGACAGAAAAGTAGGGGAAGACATGATAACCACCTACAAAGTTTTCAGGGAAATTGACAGGGTGGACAAAGACAAACTATTTAGCATGGGTGGAACATGGACAAGGGAACACAGGTGGAAACTTAGTACCCAGATGAGCCACAGAGACATTAGAAAGAATCTTGTCAGTGTCAGAGTAGTTAACAAATGGAATATATTAGGCAGTGATGTGGTGGAGGCAGACTCTATACACAGTTTTAAATGTAGATTTGATAAGAGCCCAATAGGCCCCAGAATCTGTACACCAGTTGATTGACAGTTGATAGGCAGGACCAAAGAACCAAAGCTCAACCCCCTGCAAATACAACTAAGTGAGTACAACTAGGTGAGTACAGAGGGTGAACCACAGGATGGCTAGACTTAATGATACTGAATACAACCAAGAACACTGGGTCAACAAACCAAACATGTCACCAGGAGCATCTCAACTGGCATGACAGACTTTGAACAAAATAAAGGCACAGATTTGGACAATGGGTCAGAATGGCTAGAAACCACAGTCTAGCAGGGCACTAAGGAGCCAGAGGGTTCACCCCTGCCAGTAAACATTTCCAGTCTGCACAACACCAGGAGCAACAGCCAAACCAAAGATATAAAACGAACTCCCACCAATTCCAGTTCGGCTAAAAAAGCAGCCAATGAGCAAGACTTGCAATTAAGAAACAGAGCCACATAGAATGGAAGGCATTAGTTCCAGGCTGAGGTGAAGAGGTCTGCTTTGAGAAACCCAAACAACTTGCAAAGCCAACTGAAGGATGAATTGGCAGAAGTCCACTCTGGAAATGGGACAGAAATGAGAAACTGTCTGCAAAAATGTTAGACACACCCCCACACATGAACCACACAGAGCCAAACCCAGAGAACCCAAAATACGAGGTACTCACAGAGTCCAACTCCACAGAGGAAAGGACCAAAGCAATCCTCTGCATTTCAGGCAATAAATCACAAGAGAGCATCAGAGTGCAACCCATCCTTAAACCAAGTCCTTGAGGTTGCCATCATCATGAGGTTGCATCCAGGGGTCGACCCCAAAGAAGCATTCATAAATTTTAACATGTGGTTCATTCAAAACAGGAATTTTCTCAAATATAAATTATTATTTTATATTACCATATTGTACATATTTAGGCACTGGCTAGGTTAGGCTAGGTGTTTAGGGCCTGTTGGCGATTATTTGTATTTGTAGTACACGGCGGGTGAAGCATTTAAGCGTTGTGGTTCGAACAAAATTCGTCAGTGAAGCACTTGTTCCGGAAGTGTTCGAACGTCATCAGTTGTGAGTTGTGTGTAAACTGTTTTTCATTCATAAACAGGGGGTTTGGTGGATGTATGGAATGGACTTTGGGATGGACTTTGAAGCCTGAAGTGGACTTTGGGGTCTTTGTTTAGAGGACGGGCTGCAGAGTGGAGCCAAATCATAAAGCCCAAAGAGAGACGAACATGCGGCAGAGCCTGTCACACCAACATGAGGTTGCAAACTGTACTCTGTACCCAATGAATAGGACCGACCCAGCAGCCCTGACCCACTTGGTGAGCACTGGTCACAGAGCCCCTACCCTGGACTGAGGCATATATAAACAGGTTGAGCATCAGAGGAGGAAGGTACCAGGTACAATCCAGGCACAGGACCAAGCCCCAATAAGCCTGAAGTGGAAACCAGCCAACCAGAAGCCATCAAAGGGCCAGTGGAGTCTGTGTCCATCAGTCCCAAAGGAGGTGAAAGAGACAGAACAGAAGGAACCAGTACAGCATCCAGGTCTTATCCAACACCAGCCGAAGATGTGCATTCAAGTGGAGCAGAACTGCATGTGACAAAGAAAGGGAAGCCGACTGAAAATACCAGAAAAGGCCTAGTCGGGTCCGAACTTGGGATGGAACCGACCAGGTCTTCCTTATGTTTACAGACTGGCTGGGAGCCCAAACCAGCCAGTTATAGAGGTAGGCTAAAACACAAACCCCCAAGAAACAAAGATAGGAAACCACCACACATCAAACCAGGTGAAAACTCAAATAGCAGAACAAGACTCAAAACCAGCAATGAAGATGCCCTACCATGAACCCTAATCATTCCCTGAACCAAGGGATGAATAGGGACATGCTAAGAAGCATTCCTCAGGGCCAGGGATAACATCCAAGCATCCACTTGTAGAAGAATCAGGTACTCACCTAATTGTGCTTGCGGGGGTTGAGCTTTGTCTCTCTGGTCCCGCAAACTGTCAATCAACTGGTGTACAGATTCCTGAGCCTACTGGGCTCTATCATATTTACATTTGAAACTGTGTATGGAATCAGCCTCCACCACATCACTGCCTAGTGCATTCCATTTATTAACTACTCTGACACTGAAAAATTCTTTCTAACGTCTCTGTGGCTCATCTGGGTTGTCAGATGGGGCTGACACCTGGGGCTCAGGTGGGGCTGTCTGAAGGTAGTCATATGGAAGGACACCCACAGCAAAGCAGAGATTAACTTGACCACCTGAGTCTAACCACTCTACAATGACCGAGAGGAGCTGTAATCACCTAGTTGTGCTTGTGGGGGTTGAACTTTGTCCCCTTGGTCCCTCTCTCAATGTGAGGTATCTTGCTGGCCCTGGACCGTTAACACCAAAGATTTAATATCTTTTGTCATCAAACCCACTGCAGCAGTGGTGGTGGTTGAAGACCACTACCACTGCTGCAGGCCCTGGAAAATCCAAGCACTGAGAGTCCAAGAGCCGGAAAAATGAGTCGGATAACCTCCACCTCCCCACTGCTCTGCCAAAGGGGGCAGACTGAAAAGGGGCTTCTATCACAAGAATGACGATAAATAACCCATTTGGTTATTAACCCCTTCAGGTTAATAACCAAATGGATTATTAACAAAAAGGGGTTAAAGCCACTTGTGGAGCACAACATCAAGGTACTGCACCACTTAAATGACTGACTAGCTACACCAACTGATCTATGAGCTCCTGGTGCAGCAACACCAAGTGGAAGCGAACACCTAGTAACAGTGAGCAGCTGCTATTAGGTATAGTAATGAACAACCTAACTAAAAGAATGCTCATTTTCCGAGTTGTTTAGGTTTGCCTTGCTGTTGTCACTTGTTTAACTCAACCTTTCTGTTGGGGTGTTTTCTCGATGAAGGTAATCGAGGATCCAATGCTTTCTACACCTCTCTAAGGGAGCCAGGTTGTGGCGTCTGGTTCCCGGTAGACTTCCAACGGGTCAGAAGGGTCACCTATCATTCTATCATCTAAGGCTCCACACCTATCAAGTGTGACTTGATAGGTATGGAGCTGTCCAGAGCAGCTGGCAACAGGAAGCAACCAAGTTGACACTCCAGAAAAACAGAATGACTTACCTGAGGAACTAGAAGATAAGATAAGGGGCTCCAGCATGGTAAAGGCCAATGCTATGCCAATGACAGTCACCTCCGATGCAACCCACTAGCCATGAAGAGTCAAAGATACTGCCATTTTCAGGCTGAAAATAATGCTGTTAAGCTGCACCTTTCCTCTTAGAAAGGAGGGTGCTTACCCTCCTTTCTAAATGTGACGAAGGATAAGCACTGGACTGACTCAGCCAAAGACAAAAGACAGTGACATGGCATGCCGACAAAGAGGACAAAGAGCATGCAATTCCCTAACATGGAAGCCTTCAGTTAAAGCAAGGAAGGTGTTACCTTGAAAGTAACATTTAATGAAGGAGAAACATGAACATGGGGAGAGGCGATGAAATCTATGATGGCATCCAGAGACTCGTGGGTCCAGAGGAAAATGTGCAGGATGAAGATGGAAGAATGCCCCAGCAATTGAAATAAAAAGAGGTGAAGAAAAATCTAAACCAAAATCTAAAAGCAGAGGTTCATAGTACCAACCTAGAAGATATGACAGTACATTATTTATACAAAATAAGTGATGCTCTTAAATAACCCTGGCAAAGAGACATCAAACAGGTAACCAAGTGAGATTAAATCTACCTCAGTAAGGACACGCTCACACTGATACCAGGAAAACTCTATAAATTAAAAGCCTGCTTAGTCACCTTTCTCTCATTCAAGAGATGAGAGAGCAGGATTAAAAATGCCAGACTATGTAGATTGGCAAACGATCTATTTATGTTCTCCCACTCATCATCCGAGGAGATAAAAAATTCAGAAAGGCACCTGAAGTGTGCAAAGAGAGAGAAGAGTAGGGAATCAGGAAGCTGAAAGAATATCACAGCCAACAAAGCTCTCCGTTTGAAGCAATGTAATACACCTGTTCAGATAATGAACCACCAGCAAACAAATGGTACTCTGTAACCATTTAACACAGTTTATGAATGTTTAAGATAAATATTTATTATTTTGAAAGGAGATAGTAAAACTATTTTATCAAAAGTTATAGTTATGAAACATTAGCATCTGAGGTGTTCCCCTTTCCTTACTTACTCTTATATTTAGCGCTCATATTAATTCTCATTTGCTTTGGGTAAGAATCTTGTACTTACGCTTGATCATGATTCCCCTAAGCCAATGCTACAAGACTTAGGTTAACTTCTGACCATCTCCGGGATGCAATTCACAACAAATGTTAAACTCCTGGGTATCTATTTACTGCTATGTGAACAGAGGTATCAGGTTAACCCTTACTCTGCTACATCTTGGGCTGTAAATGTGGGTATAAGCTGGGGCTGGGCAAAAAAATATTTGAATTATGTGAAAATTAATATTAAATGTTAAATAAATCTCCAACTTATTGGCTTCAGCGTCGTGAAAGTTTCATCCCAATATTTTCAGACATGGATTTTAGACAATTTTTTTTTTAAAAGAATGTTTGTTGATAAGGAGAACAGCTCCTATTAACTGGAACTGAGGGATAATGCAGTAATAAGGAGATGCAAGCACCTGTCCGATGCACAAAGAAGAAGAATAGTAGTTAGAAGTGTCCACAAAGTGGATATGCAGCTGATGCCTTTATAGCATTGCTGAGTAATACATAACACCAATAATACTGAGTATGTTATTATGCTCTATTTTGTTATATATCATACAAATACATTGTCCAATTGTGATATCTGTTACTTTCAACAATGTCCACAATTTTTTTTTTTCAAAAAAACTTTCAAGCTTGGCAACAAGTTCCTTTCTGGGGGAACCCCCTCGGCTCCCCGGAGCTATCCGGGATGATATGAATGTATTAGACCATGGTATCAGTCAAGCGAATTGAGTTCTTAGAATTTCAAACTCTATTTTCTTCGTCTCTTTAGGTTGTTTTGATGATTAGGGACCAGTTTAGAGTTTTTTCACTTATATAAAGTATACATCTCTATCCCTAAATAATTATAATTATCCCTATATTTTTGGGGGGGGAGGGGGGGGGGTATTTTTTCTTGACTTCATTCCAACACATATTGACCTACAACTTTCACATATTCGAGTACGAATGCCAAAAAATGTTTATTAAAACATACAAGTAAATCAATGAATTTGAACTACCTTATACATTGTCGATAACTTCAACTTTAATTATCTCTAAAACTAAAGTTTCAACTTTGAGTCAGCTTAAAAAAATCCAGTTTCTGACCGATTCTCACCATTTTTACATATAATTTGCGCAGCTGTCTACAATTTGTTCTACAATCCTATTAGAATGGATTTTTCATAAGCCCTAAACGTTTGGAGTTATAAATTTTGCTGTCTGAATTTGGTGCATATTTCTAATGCCATATTAAAAAAATTTTTTACAGTAAACTAAACTGAAAATCTATATTTTAAATCTATTAAAATGAAGATCATATACTATTCTGAGAGCATAATAACACTTAATGAACAATTGGTGATATTTAATATTTTTGCAGCTGATCTGAAAACCTAAAATTTTTAATATTAAATTTTATAATTATTTTTAATTTTCTTGTTTTTCAAATTACGTTGGTGATCATTTAGACACAGTTGGAGCATTTGCCTAGTAGATTATGCACAAAAAATTGTAAAGTGTTAGAGCAAGTTTGAAAAATTTAACTTACGGTACCATCGGGTCCAGTCGATGCCATGTACGATATGTACACCATGTGCAGCTTAAGGGTTAAAGGAAATGTGCCCAACCATTCTGTGATATATAGCCATCAGCTGATAAGATGATGATGTCCAGAATGGCATTCCTATCCTCCACACTAGCTATTCTGAATGAAAATAGGATTTAGTCAGCAACTTACTCTAGATGTTTCCTCCCCACTAATGAAGACCCGCTGGTAATGAGGGACATAATCTGTCTCATCCAACTGAAATTCTTTTTTATCTTCCTCATCCACAGCAGTTTCTGATGGCTCATATTTAGATGTTCGTTCAACAGCCCTGATAAAGAAAAGATGAGAGTACAAATTAAAGCAGTTTCTTAAGAACTCTTCAACAGACAACAGAGATAGGTCATGGAAATGGTAAATATGTAAATTCAGTCACTCAACCAAGTGGAAGAACAATTTTCTATGCCATTTTACTGATTTACACACACTTTTCACAGCAGTGATTTAATAAATATTTTGTCACATATATCCCCCCTCCCTTAGGTATAATTAAAAAACAAAAAACAGCGTTGAATGTAATGAAACGCCCTTTTTGGGCGAGTCCCGGAGGCTCCCCGGAGCTATCCAGGCTGATAGGGATAGTCCTAACTTTTGGCATTAGTCGATGTGGGCGAGTTCTAGGCCTACCAGGGACCACGGCCAGAACCTGGCCCCCTCAGAGAGGCACGAGGAGCATTGGGCCATAGAAATGCACATGTGATTCTGGAGCATTCTATATCTGCAATCGACCGGGACAGGCACCCAGAAAGGTAAGCACCTCAAAACAAACCCCCTATTCTGGTGAAACCAATGAAAATAACGAAACAAGAAACAAGAACTCCCCCAATTGAAAACGAGCAAACAAGCATAACGTCACATGAGTCGCGCCACATGTCTGTGCAGCTCCCCCCTCCCCGGGAGGGGGATGGGAGGAAGCCCCAGACCCCCGCGCCGGCGATCCACACCTCAGTTCCGAGGCTGGATATCCAAATACACGAAAACCACCGACCAGAGGGAAGGAGGGTTGCCAGGGAGCCTCTGGGACTCACCCTGAAATGGCGTTTCATTACATTCGACACTGGTTTTCTAGGGGGAGCCCCTACGGCTTCCCAGTGCTACTTCACCAGAGACTAAAGAAAAAAGGGGACTTACCCAGGAGGCGGTCAGAGCTCCACAACTCAACTCGAAGTAGAGACAGGCTGCAGCCGCCGACTCAAAGTGACACAGACCCGACTAGATCCAGGAATGTTAACAAGGTAGCATACAACCAGGACCCTTTTGACTGCCAAAAACCCCATGCCCGAATGTCAGCCCAGGACATGTTCCCAAAGATGGCAGCAAGAGCTGCAAACTTAGGAACGTCATGGGCATGGGGATAGACCGTAGGCTGACTAGACTTAATAACCCTGCAAACGACCTGAGAGACCCATACCTGCAAACAGGGAAGAAGGGAAACTGGATCAACCCAAAGCGCATCCCTACAAACAGAAGCCGTGGTGCGCAAATAATAGCGAAGGGCCGCAACCGGACTCAACACATAATGCACCCCCGGCCTGACCAACCAAGCATGAACAACTCAGGGACCCCTCCGGAAAGCAGCAGTCTCATTCTTCGCCAACAAGAAAAAGAGCCTTCGTAAAACAATCCTGAACCGAAAGGGGCCACAACAATCTGAGGAGAAGAGAGATAGGAGAAAACACTGTCTAAAGACCAGGACGGTTCAGGCGGCGCATGAGCAGGATAGAGGTGAAACAACCCACGAGACAGCTTGTGAAACAGTGCAGAAATAACATTTATACCAAAAGCAAGCTAAAGTGGCCAGCACTACACGATACGAGGCAACAGTATTCGGCATAAGATGACGGTCCTGGAACAACCACCAGAGAAAGAACACCACCACCCGAACCAAAAGAGAAGTACAACAACAAAGAGTAAAAGAGAAACAGAAGATCGCCAGGAAACTTAATTCTGCCACCGAGACGAAGCCCACAGGGTTGACACCATCAATGAAGACACCTGATCACCATACAAATGGTGATAAACTCGAGTCAAAAATACCAAATGCAAAGACTCGAGGAGAAGAGCAAATCACTCTCGTAACGGACCAGGCCGATCTTCTGAAAGAGGCGGAGCCGTGGAAAAACCTCCGGGTTCGGACACCGGGCAAGCAGTGCCTGAAACCATGGCTGAGCCAGCCACCATGGGGCCAAGAGGATTACTCGCCCCTGGTAAGTCTCCAAGCGAGCCAGGACCTGGAGCAACAGCTGAACTGGGGAAAAGAGGTACAGGAACCCCCCACCCCGACCAGTCCTGCCGAAAGGCGTTCATCATGACAGTCTCGCAGTCAGGTAATTACTACTTCACTGCTTTGCACAGTGCAGTGGTAAATTAAATGCAAGTCATTGGAAAGTAAGCTATATAATTAAAACTAATATTGATGAGGACTTATGACACTACATTTTTGTCGAGAAAATTTAAATCTCAAAACATTTTTAGATATTTTTTGCACTTCTTCCTTTTACAGTATCTGCTTTTGCTGAAGAAAATTTACAATAAAAAATTAACTATACTTTCAACACAGAAATACCTACATCTTAGAAGCAATACATACAATACACTAAGTTGGCGATGAAGTTTCAGTTTGTCTTCAATTTGCTCGATTGGAAACTGTGCCACTTCATAAGGAGCTGATATTTTATTGACCCTGGTAGAGTCCTCTGCTTCCATCATTGCTTCAATGTCCTTGAGGGTTTTGTCAACATGGAACCCACTGTGGTCAAAGACTGGACTCTCACTACCTGCAACAATTTTTATTTTATTAGTTGGCTAAAACACACAACTGTACACATGTTGAAAGTACAGCAAGCATCAAAATTGCACTTTCAACAGCAATACACCTGGCTACAATATGGGCACCAATGAAAAGTAAGGGTGTGTGTAGGGAAAGATAGTAATAGTGTGTAATTACTTAAGTGTAGTTACAGTATGAAAGCTACTCTCGTGGTGGCCCGTCTTCCCAGTACTCTTTGTCGTATAATGCTTTGAAACTACTGACAGACTTGGGTACCAGGTTGACCCCAGGCACCAGTGGGTACCCCATCTATAGTAATAACACAGTGGAACTTCTATACTCATCATTAATCCGTTTCTGACAAATATGGAAACTGACGAATATGTTAACACTTTATCCACTTTCAAGCTTGGCAACAAGTTCCTTTCTGGGGGAGCCCCTTCGGCTCCCCGGAGCTATCCGGGATGATATGAATGTATTAGACCATGGTATCAGTCAAGGAAATTGAGTTCTTAGGCCTACCGGGGACCTCGAGAGAGACCCTGGCCCCCTCTGAGAGCCCCGTGTAGGTGGAAGCATTCTATGTCTGCCATCGACCGGGTCAGGCACCCAGAAATGAAGGCACCCCAAAACAACCATATCTGGTAAAAAATTGCTACTGAAAGCCGAGCTGTTGGACAGAACTTCCCAAACGAAAAACGAGCAAACAAACATGATATCACGACCATCACCACGCCGCTGTCTACACAGCTCCCCTCTCCCCGGAAAGGGAAAGGGGGAGCCCCAGAACCCCCTATCCACCCCCAGTTCTCTGGCTGATGTGAAACCTGGTGGTCGTGTGACTCTGGCACCAGACGATTTCCATTGCTGTGCCTTGTGATATGGTCCTGTCCTGTGGCGGTGTGTGAGCCAGGAGTAATATCACAAGTATTCAGGCTGCATGCGCCTAGCGTTACCTTCCCTAGGTGCCCTGTAAGTACTGCCCTTGTGGCTTGGGGTTCCCTTCCTCAAGTAGCTTAGGGTCTGCCTCCGTGGGGTCTTTTGCTACTCGGTGATTGCCTGCCCTTGGAGTCAGCTGGGGTGTTTCATGCACCACTGTTTGTCTCTGAGTAGGAAGTAATTTTGTCACTGGTAGGGGCGCAAGGTACTGTGCAGCTAGTTTTTCTCATATATAGCGGCCAGCTCTGTTCTGCCTGGGTCGTTGTCCTCTTGCAGGGTTTTTCTTTTGTTTTTCTGCCTGGTGGGGGTCTGCCCTTGTTGTTGATACCTCTTATAAATATTTGGTGGCCCTCTACTAGGTCCCCGTGAGTGTACACGTCCCGGGGGTTCAGCTATTAGTAGTTCGCGGCACCGGTTAGCAGTACCTTGCCTGGGCTACCCTTAGCAAAGCATCTAAGGGCCCTGGAAACCCCCATTGGGGATTAGTGGTTCAATGTATGTGTCCCCTGGGTCCCATCTTGCTTTGTGCGAGTTTGAAGGTTGCTCTGTCCCCTTGTCTCAGGGTGACAATCACCAGTTGTGCCTTCATCATGCTGCCTGTTGAGTCAGTGACACCATCGACCCGGAGTTCTGCAAGTGGTGTTCCTTGCTTGTACTCCAGTTCACCCAATTCGCTGATCTTGATATTCGGGTGCAGGCACCTTCTGCATTGCATGCACATTTTAGATTGCTGCAGTGCGCTAGGTTGTTTTATGAACCGGATGCCTCGAGACTGCCCCATTTGGTTATAGGGACCTGGACTTGGGAGGCTTTAGTCGCCTCAACTTTGATTTCGTCCGCACCCTCTTGTCCTTCCCCTGCTGTTGTTCGTCCTGTCCTTCCCCCTTGCACCCGACTCCAAGCTTGGGGGGCTTGGGCCCCATTTGACCTTGCTTGGGTTTTGGTACCCACTGAGTGGGGCTTGTTTTTGCAGGGAAGGGGTGGGGTTTTCTTATCCCCCCCCTCCCTGTACGAGTTTGATATGTCAACCCTCTCCCCAGGTTCGGGGTTGAACCCTGGAACCCCCAAGTGTTCCCGGGTCCCTTTGGGTACTTCAGTCCCTTCCTTCCGGAGGTTTTCGGCCTCCCGCATCCCACCCCATGAGGTGTGGGAGGCCATTGCGGCTGACTTCCTGCACGACCTGGATTACGCCTCGATAATGGATTCTACCTCTTTTGAGTTCGGTTCTTCCTTTCTCATTGGGTGCGTTACAAGATTCTGGAGTCGTCCTGGTTGGCAGACTGTCCTATCTTTTCGTTGGGGGCATGGCATACGTTCTGTCGGTCCCACACGCTTGAGTGGCAAGAGGCCTTACGGTTGTTCAGCTTTACCTGGAGGGGTGAATTTGAACACCTCAATGCATGTTTGTTCATCCCTGCCCTTCCTTTGGCAGCTTCTCGTGCAAGTTCGCCCTTTCGGCAACCCTGGTAGCTGAGGACTTGCATGCCCATGGCCATTTGGCTACAGTCCTTCATTTCTTTTCCTCCTTCTCAAGCTGCCTTCGAACTGGCTTGAGGAGGATGTGAAGGTGCTGGGTGCCGATCCTGAGTCTGATGCACTGGTCTCGGCGGTGAGGGCATCGGCTGCTCTGTTGAAGCTATTTGTGTCGATCCTGCGGGAGGCAGTGTCTCTAGAACATAAGAATAAAGGTAACTACAGAAGGCCTATTGGCCCATATGAGGCAGCTCCTATTTATAACTACCCAATCCCACTCATATACATGTCCAACCCACGCTTGAAACAATCAAGGGACTCTGTTCTTTGATTTTCATCTCTCGTGTCATCAGGCAGTGCTAGCTCAATCCTTGGAATCCGCTTGGCCCGTGGCTCTTAGGTTTTCTATGCCTTTTTGTTCTTTCCTGTTTACAGAGTCTGCGGTGGTGCAGTATTTGCAGGCAGCAGATTTTAGTTGTCGTCTCATGTCTAATTTGTTGGTTTTCCAGGGGGGGGGGGGCTCTTCCTGGAAGGGTCGTGCCAGGGCTCGGGGTTCCACCCGTCGTGGTAGGCCAGTAGTGCCAGTTTCAGTGTGTTTTTTTTCAAAGCCGGCACAGCCTTCGGAACCGAAGATGACTGGTAGGCATGGTGATCGCTCTGGTCATAAGTCAGCTTTTCGTAAGGGGTATCGGTCCTTTCACGGTTCATCCCATTGACGGGGCGATGGTGGGAAAGCTCGCGCTGTTTGCTCACACCTGGTCGTTTCTTGCGGCCTGCACTGGAGTTAGGTGGACCCTCCTACTTCGGGAGGTTCAGGGCTGGCGGGGCAGGCCTCTTCTCCTGCACTCTTTAGGGTCATTTTGAAGTGGGTTCGCTTGGGCATAGTCGAAACATCTTTGTCCCTCAGGTGAATTTCCCACCTGTTTCCGGTTCCAAAACGGGACTGCGCGGACCTGTGGTTCATTCTGGACTTGTCCCATCTCAACCCCCTGCGTCTATTGCCACTCCTTTTGGATGACAACTTTGTCTCTGGTCCATCTTCTTTTGGAGAGCCAGGCGCTTGGATGGTGTCCCTGGACCTCCAGGATGCGTATTGGCACATCCCGATTCATCTGGGGTTCAGGGACTGGCTTGGTTTTGTTGTGGGGCATCAGGCTTACCGCTTTCGTTGCCTCCCGTTTGGTTTGAATCTGGCACCTCGTGTGTTCACATGCCTTAGCCGGGTCACGGCGTCTTCGTCTCTTAGGGGTTCGGATTTTGGCCTACTTCGACAACTGGCTGGTATGGGCTCCCAGCCGGTATGCGTGTCTGCTCGCCATGAATTTGGTTCTTTTCCAGCTCACCGGGTTCGGGTTCCTGGTGAATTGGAGGAAGTCCCATCTGGTTCATTCTTGGATTCAGTGTTGGCTGGGTCTTGTGTGGGACTCTCGGAATGCTTCCTTGTCTCTCCCTCTGGAGGCTCTGCTGTGCTGTGGTTGAACCTTCAGCCGTTTCTGGAGGGCCCCCAAACCCTCAAGCAGTTGCTTGAGGGTTTGAGCGGGAGTCTGAACTTTGCAGTGCTGGATGGTGTCCCTGGACCTCCAGGGCTGGATTTGGCTTCATTGGCTGTCCTGGTTCCTTTGGGGGGACGTCCCTTTCACCTTTCTTGCGATCATTGGGTTCGACCAATGGGTGCCTGGCATCGGCTGCTGCGTTGCTGGCTTCCTCTTCGGGTTTTTCGTGGTTCAACGACTTGGAGTCTACCCAAACCCTCGCTTGATGTGTTCACGAATGCGTAGTCTCTTGGCTGGGGCTTTGTGACCAGTGCTCACCAGGCCGGTCAGGGGCGGTGGGGTCTGTCCCTCTGTCGGGCCCACAGCACGGTGCGGGAGTTCGTGGCTGTGTGAATGTCTCTCAGGAGGGTTTGGGTCCTCTCGGATTGCTCCCCAGTGGTTCATTGCCTGAACAACGGGGGTTCGATGTGGTCCTTGGCTCTTTGAGGCTGGTAGCTTTGGGTGACTCATCTGCTAGGTTATCGGGGTTTGGCTCTCCTGCTGGGTTCATGTTTGGGTGGTGTCCAACATCCTGGCCGTTCACGTTTAGAGGGTGTCCAACATCCTGGCAGACGGCCTGTCACAGTTCATCCCTGTCCACGGAATGGACGGTCGACGTCGACTCGTTCAGTTGGCTCTGCCGGACGTATGGGCTCCTGGAGGTGGACCCCTTTGCATCGGTGTACTCGAAGTGTCTCCCAGTATATGCGGCGCCCTACCCGGACTGCAAGGCCATCGGGGTCGATGCCTTCAGGCAGGACTGGTTGAGGTGGAGGTTACCTGTACCTCTTCCTCCCGGTTCTGCTGTGGCTCCAGGTCCTGGCTCGCTTGGAGACTTACCAAGGGATGGTAATCTTGTTGGCCCCTTTGTGGCTGGCCCAGCCTTGGTTTCAGGCGCTGCTTGCTTGGTGTCCAAATCCGGGGGGTCTTCCTGCAGCTCTGCCTCTTTCGGCAGATCAGGTCAGTCCGTTACGTGGCTGGCTCGATCTTCTCCTCAAGTCTTCGTGTCTGGTCTTTCTGATGAGGGTCTATCACCATTTGTATGGTGAGCAGGGGCTTCGTT